TTCCAACTGGAAACCGATCATGTGGGAGACCGTGTGAACCGTGATTCAAGGTATACCCGAAACTATACGTTTGAGAATGCGGTATGAGGAGGGGGAGAGATCGAAATTTTAGAGCATGCGTTTGACTCTGTGAATGTCGTTCAGGGTTGCAAGGGTTCGAAACTCCATGAGAAATAGTGGCTAGGGAAGCCGAAAATGTGATTTCGGTGGTAAACCACCAGGTCACGTGATATCTGAGCTTCAGTTCCGATCCCGCCGTCCATCACGCTATTATGAGGTTGATGTAACCTTTCACTATTTTGAAATTTCCATCGATCTCCAAGTCACCTGTAAAATGGGTTGAAATTGGACCCCCACAGCTAGCTGTGGCTCTCATGACATAGCGAAAGACGTACGGTAATAATAAAAGAATCACTAAAACGAAATATGCGTTACAGTAAGAGGGCCAGTTGCATTACTTTTCCTCACTCCCCTGCTACTTGTACGATGATTGTTGCTCCATTATGGAAATTCATGCCAGTGCTACTCAGTGGTACGGCATCATTGCGGCCATCATAACGGTAGCCTGGCAGGTTTTTCGGCTCCTGCGTGTGATTCTCCGAGTTTGGCTTTTACCATGGTCTGAGATCTGTATCAAGTGGCTCGCAGCGACCCTCATGCGTACTTTGCAATGGACAACCATAGACGAATTCGACCTCCTCTTTGTCGCTGGATATGTCACGGCTAATGCAGTATGCATAAGCCTAAATGCGAAAGACTCAGTCGAGGTTGCCGCTCGATGTGGAAATCTCGCCACCATCAACTTGGTTCCTCTTCTGGTGGGCTTGCACCTTAGCGACGTAGCAGATTTTCTGGGAATGACCCTTCGTATACCAAAGATCATACATCGCTGGGTCAGCTGTGTGATGCTACTTGAAGTCATCGTTCACGTGGTGATCAACGCATTGACTACCGACCTGAAATGGACTCCTGCCGAAATATCTGGCACTATCGTAAGTCGATACTGGCAAAATGAAAGGAGAATAGACAAAACTGACCATCCATGTATGCATCCGGGGCACTGGCAACTGCGGCCCTGTTGACGCTCCCCGGGGTGAGAAGGTATTTCTACGAGTTGTTCTTGTGTCTGCATGTCGTAGCAACGGGTGCTGCTGCTATCGCTGTGTGGCACCATCTCTCGATTCGCCAATCTCAGGCTCGCTTCTACGTATTAGGAGGCCTTGGGTTCTGGGTCAGCTGGTTTCTCATCGAACTCTTTATTGATCTCCTTTATAACATAAATTTCGGTCGCGGTAATTGGCTCCCCAAGGGAAAAATCACAACAGTATATCGAACAGAGAGCGGTGAGCAAGTCGTGATGTCTGGTGTATGCCACCTTGAGATAGATGTTCACCATCACTGGAATGTGCGACCA